CATCATCAATGTTGCATGTAGTCATGAGTACCTCAATCATGTTGCCATACACGTACCCGACTCTTCCCGTACCCGTACCCGAAACTACTTAGACACTCCTTGAATTTATGCATGTATTTATTCGGATGTGTATTCAATTATATAATACATGTTTTAATTTAAAACACTCGATTATATAATACATGATAAAAGAAGCATAACAAATGTTATAGAAATTTTGATTCTTGTCATATGTGAATGAAAAAACAATACTGATCTCATGTAAATTATTAAACTTCAATGTATATATAGCCTATAGGCGTGTCCCCATACCCTACATTTATAAATTCACGGTGTCCCGCATCTGTACCAGTACCCATAGCCATACCCCCAACCATGCAACATAGGTTACTATTGTTGTGCGCAGCGGAAATTTCGGCAGCACTTCGGCAGCACAACAAGAGAGATTAGATCGATAAGAATTCCCGTCTCACCAAGAAAACAAGAATCTGAAGCGGATATCTCAACCAAGTGAGATATCGGCTCTTCCTCTCATCAGTTCTAGGACTGACCTGTCGAGGGATCCTACAAGCTATTACAAATCACGGCAAGAACACAAATTTTTACGTGGTTCGGCAAACTGCCTACGTCCACGGGGCAAGGAGGGGGCGATCTACTAATAGAGGGAGAGATACAACTGGGTTTACAATCTCACAATCTAAACCCTTACAAACTCTCAGATCCCTCACAAAATCTCTCTCAAAGGGGATGCACAAAACCCTAACAAAAGCTACACAAAAACTCCTCTTCAAACAGCCGGAAAAAACAATCAGCTTTTCCCCCCTCTGTTTTGCTTGCACGCTGCCCAAGACTCTGTCTTCGCACACCTTTACTGCATCCGCAACTGAGTTTTCTCCGGCCGCCTTTACTCTCCTGCACGCCTCAACTTCGCACACAACCTTTGCTGTAGCCGCCAGAGAACAAACTCCCACCTTGCTCAAATTCCGAAAAACCTAGAACCATGCATTTATAGGGTAACTTTCGGGTGGGCCTTCTTTACCCGCTGGATCAACGCATGGTCCCCCACAAAAAACTGATGAAACCTTCACGTGGTTTCCTCTTTTATCCTCTCACAACAAAAGCTCTCGTGGCCCCCACATGCAAAGCAAAAAACGCATTCACAATTCTCCACCTCGGCGAAGTTTTCCCAAAACTGAGCCGACACCAACCAAAACAAATGTCTCACTTGTTGTATCCAGTACGTCTTGGCAACGGACTCATGACAACGGACTCCATCCACAACAGGTCGAGACCCAAATGGGAGTGCGAACACTCAACCCAAACCAAATAGTGTCTACTCACCAAATCAAACTGAGCCTACACCGACTACACCAAATGCCTCACTTGCTGAGACCCAAATGGGAGTGCAAACACTCACCCCAAATGTCGATGTCGCTCACCAAATCGATCTCACCCCATCAACTAATCCAAACCCGGCTGCATCGTAAAGACTGCCTACGTATCCTCTTGCCCAAGGAATCGAGCCGAACGTAGTTCACCCAAATGGCCTCCAAAGGCCCTCAAACAAATAGAAAAGTCTGCAACTCTTCTTCAATATCACTAAACGATCTGCAACTGATAGCACTCTCAATAGCTCCAAATTGAGACAAATCAAACACCTCCATCTGAGGTGAACCAATGGCCGTATCCAAATTAAGTCCATCAGCTGCAATCGAATCCAACTCATCATCTGCATCCAAATCCAAATGATCCCCAATCTGTGTCACCTCAGCTGGAATCCCAAATGATACAGTATGATCTGGAGTCTCCACCCAACGTGGAGTAGCATCACTCTCCACCCGCTGCGATGTCCCAAAGATCTGATCACCACTCTCCACCTGCCGAGAGTTAAACGTGACATACCTGCTCAAAAAAAAATCAGAAGCCAATACCTGATAATCAAACATGCCTCTGAATCCCAAATGTGCTATCGGATCAAATCTCACATCCACGATGTGACCAAATGCTGGGTAGCCAAACATCCGACGCAACCCAAAATCTGAAGCAGCTCCACCAGATCTAAAATCTCTACATGTAGCAGTCAGCAACCTATGCATAAGATGGCCCAAACATGTCGTAGCCTGTACACCAATGCCAATGCTCGACATCAAACACCGATCCTCCTCCAGAAAGGAACAGCTCCCCAAATCTGCCATCTCATCACGTCGCCTCAAAGTTTCCACACCAATGAAGTGTCTCCTATTACTGTGAGCTCGGCACAAATACAGATATAGGTCCCTCTTGTACTTCCTTCTAACATCAGACTGAAGTACCTTCACCTTTCTGCCAATACACTTCCTCCATTTGTTGCGGGCTTCTAGGATTTCACACCAACGGGACTTGGTTGTAACCCACCAATGCCTAGAGCAATCCCCAACTGCGAAAACCACATACCTATTACCTCCCAATGATGCTCCCTTAGAAGGCCCACGAATGCCTGAATGAACACCCCTCAGAAGACCCCTCGAGTGATGGATAGAAGTGCCAAACTCCATCTCGGTCTTCTTGCTCATACCAATGGGTTCACAGGACTTCAAATTGCAGGTCAAAGCACTCCTCAACAACCAATACACGGCATTACTAATCAAATAACCCAACATCAAACAACGCCACAGTCTAGCCGAATCCGATGAAGTCGTCATCTCCCTATCAATCTCCGTGCTTCCGAGCAAATAATACAAATTGCTTCTTCTGACGCCCTTCATCACAATCATGGTCCCGATGTGACCTTCAAACGTGCATCCATCAAGGTCACTTTATAGCCAGATGCCACCAAAGCTCCTAGTGAAATGATGTTCTTCGATAACTGCGGAACGAACCTCACTTCTTCCAACTCCCGCACCATCCCGTCACTCATCTTAATCCGAACGGCACCAATACTACCAATAGAGCATGCATGTCCATTACCCATGAGCACAACATCCTCTCTTTCCAACTTCTGAAAGCTGGAGAACCAATCCCTTCTAGGACAAACATGGTATGAAGCACCCGAATCCAACATCCACTCTGTAGAGTTGGCAACACAAACTGACGGTAGTGCAGACAACGAATAGCCTGAAGAATCCGAATCTGAATCGTTGTCACTAGTCTTGACAACATTCACCTCTGAAGCTTGTACAGCTTTCCCCTTATTCTTCTCGGCTCGATCTAACTTTGGGCATTCGGCTTTCCAATGTCCATCCTCTTTACAAAAGGCACACTGATTCCTACGAATCCCACGATGTGCACCTCTAAACTGTGACCTCCTGCTTCGGTTTGAATCACGGCCATGAACTACTAATGCATCTCCCGATGCCTTCTCGGAGGACTCATCAACACTCTTCCTCAACTCATAATTCACCAACGCTGAGGTCACCTCCTTGTAACTAACAGTAGTTCTTCCATTAATCATAGTTAGGACAAAAGTACCATAATCATCCTCGGGCAACGAACACAAAAGTAGCATCGCCTTATCTTCATCCTCAACCATAATATCCACATTGGCCATGTCTGAAAGTAGCTTTGTGAAGTTGTTAACATGCTCCCTAATGGAAACTCCCCTCTTCATCTTGAACTGGTAAAACCTCTTCTTCAAGTGAAGCCGATTCTCAATGCTCTTAGTAAGATACTTTTCATTGAGTGTTCCCCACATCTTCTTCGCCGACATCTCGTTCATCACGTCATAAATAAGATCCGACGTCAAGCATGACCGAATAACTCCACACGCCCTACTATTCATCTTCTTCCAAACCTTAGCTTCCATCTCGGCAGGTTTCTCTTGTAACTCAAGAGTCTCCTCCAAATTCTGAGCGTCCAAGGCGTCCATCACCTGACACCTCCACAATCCGAAATTAATCTTGCCGTCGAACTTCGGAACATCAATCTTCATGTTATTGATGCTCAAACTATGTATCGTCTTCGTAAGAGACGATCCCGATGTGCTTGTTTCACCCATGTTGTCGATCTAATCTTCAAATAGGAATCCTTCAGCGAATCCTTCAAACAAGCTCCCAAGTCCAACCCGGAGCTCTGATACCACTTGTTGTGCGCAGCGGAAATTTCGGCACCTGACACCTCCACAAACCGAAATTGATCTTGCCGTCGAACTTCGGAACATCAATCTTCATGTTATTGATGCTCAAACTATGTATCGTCTTCGTAAGAGACGATCCCGATGTGCTTGTTTCACCCATGTTGTCGATCTAATCTTCAAATAGGAATCTTTCAGCGAATCCTTCAAACAAGCTCCCAAGTCTAACCCGGTGCTCTGATACCACTTGTTGTGCGCAGCGGAAATTTCGGCAGCACTTCGGCAGCACAACAAGAGAGATTTTTTCCCCCCTCTGTTTTGCTTGCACGCTGCCCAAGACTCTGTCTTCGCACACCTTTACTGCATCCGCAACTGAGTTTTCTTCGGCCGCCTTTACTCTCATGCACGCCTCAACTTCGCACACAACCTTTGCTGTAGCCGCCAGAGAACAAAATCCCACCTTGCACAATTTCCGAAAAAACCTAGAACCATGCATTTATAGGGTAACTTTCGGGTGGGCCTTCTTTACCCGCTGGATCAACGCATGGTCCCCCACAAAAAAACTGATGAAACCTTCACGTGGTTTCCTCTTTTATCCTCTCACAACAAAAGCTCTCGTGGCCCCCACATGCAAAGCAAAAAACGCATTCACAACTATCATACTACGAGGCTAAAAAAGTGAGAAAAGAAGTGATTTCAAGTTAAGTGTCAAGCCTTTGTTGGTAAATCAGGCGAGCTTGCCGTTTTGTTTCTGTACAATTGTTTGTACCATAAATTAGGAATAAACCCCTGTTTCTACGTAAACAATTAATATTTCTTAACATTATGTTTATTCATAACAGCTATCACTGTAGCCCTCTCCACACAAGCTAACAATGACTGTTGGCAATCTAATATAATCTTACACTCTACGCTGTAGTTAACATTTTCTCATGTCTTCTCTTCTCTCCAGGAGTCAATAGTTGCTGCATAAGCCAGTTAATTCTGGGGGTGGTAACTTGGGGTACAACTACTTGGTGCAGAAATTAGTTTGGTGAGGTTTACATTACAGTAGAGTTTTCATGTTGAAGCTGGTGGCACTGGATGCAATGAGTAGTACATGGCTCCACAAAAGAAGCGTGCTTAATTTTGTTCTGCTTTGTTTGTTATGTGCCTTTATTCATTTATTTCATTTCATTTTACATTTTCATTATGTATCTAGTTTTTTATTTGTTATTGTGTTTTCTTTGTGCTGTAACATTAATGTAAAACATTCTTTTTGACGACTCTGAATGAAATGGAAAGCTCTGAATATTCTCGAGTACCTTACCATGTTGATCTTGTCAGAGTCGGGTCTCTAATTTTTCAACTTTCGCTCTTTGCACCATCATGAATACAACGAACTGATCTAGTGAAATGTTTGAGAATGATCGACTTTGTCACCACCCGTGAATTGCATTCTTTTTTACAAACATATATAAGGGCATGACTAACTGTTTCTGAACAAATTTAGAAACTTGCCCCTTAAAGAGTTGGTTTGCATGAATAAGGTTTTTAAAAAAAAAAAAATCTCACTGTCACAAACACTTGTAACAAGATTTTCATGTTTTGTGCAACTTGTGATTGTGAGAACCAGCTGGACTGAATGTGCCCATTTTCTCTCTGGCTTTTAGCTCAGACAAACTCAAGGTAATTAGTTATCAACTTATTCTATATAAACTTTTTTTTATTGTCTGTTAATTTCATTTCTGCTTACCGATAGACTAACATCATGTTCTTTGTGAATAATTTCTGACCTGATGTATGATGCTTTCTTGTCTGCTTTGCACAAAATCTCGATCTTATTATATATAATTACTATGACACATTTAATAGGCTCCAGCATTAGTAGTTTTATGCACATGTTTTTCCTTTGGAGATAATAAGCAGATCGTATATAAACTTCTTTTCTGTATATATCATTTCCATTTCTGGTCAGCCACAAATTATTGCCGTGATATTTGCAAATAGATTTTGATATCATGTTATTTCTTTGGAGATAATAAGCTGATCGTATATAAATTATGTATCATAAGATGGAGTTAGATCTCCATCTTATGATATATAATGCTTATTACGCACTTAATAGGCTGCAAATTAGTAGTTTGAGATGGATGTACGTTTTGACATACGAAATGCAGCATTAGTTGTCTTTCTGATGTTATTTATTTTTCTTCAATATAATGATTAATGACGAAGTTTGAAAATGCACCTACTGATGCATAACCTAGTTGCTATCTGCCTCTGTTAACTTCCTCAGTTTACATGACACATAAAATCCTACTGCGACCAAGATCACAGCGGCCACCCCGACATTCACCATGAGCTGCTTATGTCTTTTAAACCTCAGTCCTCTATCGCCAGCCTTAGCCTTGTGTATTTTCTCCTTTTCTTCTTGGTTTTTTTGCACGTTATCTTCTCTTGGTTTGGGTTCAATTGCGGTTTTCTTGTCTGATGCAGGCTCTTGTGCGTTTGTTGTTTGGTTTTGTGTAGGGTGTCGAGCAAAGAGCTTCGGAAATATCATAGAGAGAGTGCCATTTTCAAACTTTGCTCGAATGTCAGCATTGCTGGTGTTCGAAGGAATACGGAAATTCGTAAAGAAGCGTCTCCAACGCTCGCCGATCAGAGGGCGCTCTCCACTGACTTTCAGGTTCCTGAAATTGTCCATTTGAATCTTGATTTGCTCCTTCTTGAATCCTACATCAAGAAATGACATTTGAGTTCACAGTTCATGTCCGATATATTAGAAGCGTGCACTATTTATCTCTAGGGTCAATTTCAGATATTAGCCCCTGTACTACGATAGTGTAACCGCTTTATGTTCTCTATTTTTTTAGCAGTTTTATCCTTCAAACTTGGACAACATTACTTTTTTACCCTCAATTTAGAGGACAAATTCGGTTTTTTTCCAGTTAAACTGAGTGCGGAAAGTAATTTAGTTATTATCATCATGTGACGTCACTATCCAACTCGGAAAGCTAGAGTTCTGGGATCTACATACTAATAAAATAGTTTATGGGGTGCAAGGATTCTGAACTTCATTGTAAAGGTAATCAATCTATTTATTTATGTGTTTTTATATCGGTGGACAATGCTATAAATCATTTGTTTTGCTTGCAGTAGTTATTAGTTTACAGATCAGAGTATCCCAAGTTTTTGGACTTTTATCATTTTACAATTCTCTTTTCAAAATTTGCAAGACCATTTAGTTTTACACCAATGGATTGCAATGCTTTGTTCTGGCAAAGAGAGCGAAAAGTTAATGACTGGACTACCGGAGCTTATTAACTGGAATATGATCAACTTCATATGTTTTTCCCATGAGGTAAAACACCCTGATGTTTAAGATTATCATAAATCATCTCAAAACAAGCTAAGGAATTTACGGTACCAAAATCTGAGTAAAAATTTATTACCAGGGAGAGATATTTCGAGAGTATCAGATCCTTCCTCATGATTCCATTTGAAAGAGGGTTTGAAGTCCTCATAGGTAACTCTTGTACTCATCTCTCTTCCCTTTTCTAATTTTTTCACTGCAAATTGTTAGTTGTTGTATATCAATGAGCAGCACTAGGCTAGGCTTATATATATGTACTTGGGATACAGAGAAGGGGGTTCTCTTTTAGTTAACTTCAGAAGATAATTATTCCTTATAAACATGTAGCTTTCTTGGGACCGAGTAGATTTAAAAGCTTAATTATTCCTTTCCATCTGGGCTTTAGTTTAAGCCACCTCCAGTCCTGGGCAAAAGAAATGTTCTCTGCTCTCTGTCATTGCCCTGTCTAACAGACTCCAGTTTTCTATTAGATAGTTGTGGGGTTAAATATACCCCTTTAACTCTTTTATTAGTACTTGCATTTTCTGATCCTCTAATTGTACTACTATATCGCCTGTAATTTAGAGGTCGAGTTAGTCTTTTTCTATTTAATCTGGGCGTAGAAGGTAATTTAATGTCATGTGATTCGCTCGTGAATCTCTAACTAACTGGGGAAATAGTTCAGGGAATACAGGCGGTTACATCTTCATAATGCATGGACTATGGAGTGTGTATGCACATCTATATTATTTACGGAATTACAGTTGAGTTTTCTATAGAATTTCATCCTTGATCTTTTACTTTTACAAAGAATATGAGGCTCTGTACTTGGTCCATCACTGTTTCTCAGAAGAACATGGAAAAAAAATTATGGCAAAACTTTGTGGAACGAATACATTCTTGCGTGATTTTAGTAGTTATGCAAGACATCACAGTTATAAAGTAAAAACGACAACAACACCATTTGAAGTTATTTGAATCTGTTTCATTGATTTACGAATATAGACCCTTTGCCTTTCTCATCATTATCAGGCACGAGTAATGTTGAATGTACTGCAAATCTCATATTACTTTTGCAACGTGTCCATGTGTCCCTATTTCTGGAAATGCGCGAGTCTTGCAGACCAAAGTAGGATGAACTTGGTAGTTCAATTTGCGTTACTCTTATGAGCTTTTGTACTGTAGATCGGCCTGAAACATGGATTCTGCTTCATTTTATCCTCACACGAGATGTTTTGATGTTTTTGAAATGTTCCTCCTTGTTGCATGTGGACCTTATTTGAGATCTTTGTATGAGTTAAAATAGAAGAAGATATTTGTAATCCCCATCTACAAATCTACAATGCTCTTTGGGATCCTACTATTTTTAGTCCCATGCTTCTTAAGATATGAATTCACCTTTCATAGAACTCTTGTCCTGCTTATTGAGGTAATCTGACAACTAACAAATTTAGACATATGTTACAAAATGGGTAAATTTCACTAAATCCCCAGTAGGTTTGGGACTTTGGCGATTAGTCTCCAAAATGTTTGAAATTCTCACCGCATCTCAATCGGGTTTATCAGAAAATCTCCAAATTTGGGTTGCTCACTTTCTCTCTATCCTAATCCTAATGCCACTCTCCTCCGGTGAATGTAGTCAGGGGTTATTGGTTGGGACAAATTGGGGCTAAGTGGGAAAAATGTTCCAATGAAACAATTTTACCCCTTTGGGATATTTTGAGTGGGGTAAAGTGGGATAAAGTGGGATAATGAGATAATTTCAGCATTTGATTTGATAATTCATGTGAGATAATTGATAATGTGGCACCTTATTAAAATATAATTTTATCTATTAATTACTTCTAAATTAACTTATTCAATTAGTTTAGTATATTATTTAGTATATTATTATAATATAAATATTATTTTACTTTATATTAAAATATAATATATTGTACTATACTTACAAATTACTATTATTAATTATTATATTGTATTGTATTATATTATATTAGCATGCTATACTATATAATAATTAATATAATATAAGATCAATATATTTTTAATATAATATTTTAATAATATAATACATTATTTTATTTATAAAAAATATAATATGTTATACAATAATTACTAATTAACATTAGATTAGTATATTACATTATATAATAATTGATATAATATATGAATAATATATATAATATAATACTTTAATAATATATTATTTAATTTAATATATTATAATATAGTATCATAGGATATAATGTACT